AATAATAATAATAATTATTATTATTATTATTATAGTAATAAAATTAAAAAAATAATAATTGCATTGACTTGAGTGGGACAACAGTACCCGTGCATCATCTTGCCTAGAGCTATGTTGATTCTCAGCTCTCTTTTACAGTGCTATCTGAAGGCACAGTATTCTATACACCGCACACTGGTCCACTCTACTGATAACATCATTTTAAATGCACTTGATCAGTAAAAAGGAGCAACTGCCTTGGATGTTGTGATGAGACATATGTGCTGCAGATGCATAATTTTTAAATAATTATAAATGTTTTAGAACCTGGGTAATTAGTAAAATTTATGGGGTACTTGCTGTTTTAGTCATGAGAGTATATCCCCTACCAGGTAAAGAAAATATATTAATCATTGCATCTACCACAAAGTAATAGGCAGAATTCTCTATGATAAAACTTATTTGGGGCTTGGGTACAGCAAATGATGCACACAGGATTACTAATCTCTTACAGTTACCTGTTGTGGTCAGCCAGGTTATGTCTTTGGCTACAGGCCCAGGTGGGTACAACAAGCACATTATGGAGTAGCCAGAATAGCGGGTAGGGTTGTGCATGGGGTGTAACGACATGCGTTTCTTCTCACCAAGGATGTCTTAACTACTGCTGCTACTGAATGTCCAGAGTTCAAGCATCAGAAAGTGAATCAAAGCCCTTGATACAGCACCAGTCCTCAAGCAGACAAAGTAGCCACTGGTTGAAAGTTAGTGACATCAGACCCATTCCCTGTAAGGGCAGAAATTTATCTTTATCAGACCCAGGTTCCAGGTAAGTGTCTGTCTTTCTGATTGCCAAGATTTCACACTGTCTGCGTGCTCATTGCCTCACTTCTTATGGAAAAGGAGGTGCAGAAATGCTATGTTGCCAAGGAACCCCCCAGTCTTATCATGTACAGGATCACTTAAGAGATGCCAGCCTGGTGGGATGTGCGGTGGCCTCCTGGTGGTACAGTTGAGGTGGAGGATGGATATGACACCCTGCAGGGGTGGAGTATGGTCCTTCCTGATGAGGTGTAATGTGTGCTTTGTATCCCACAACTATAGGTTTTCTGGGTCTAGATATTCCGTTTCTCAGAGGGAGGATTGCTTCAGTCATGGGAAACAATAAGGATTACAGTGACCTTGAAGTTTTAGATGCCACCTAATCATATGCAGCTCCTTGTGCTGTTTAATGACAACTGTAGACTGGAGATGGTATTTCGGCTTGGATAAGTGGTTCTGACTTTCCTAAAATGATATCGCTGCTACCCCATGTGTCAGGAGAAGTATACCTAGAAATTACAAAGAGGGTGTCTCTTGGTGCTCAAATGCCCAGATTAATTAGCAATGCTCAGATGAAGAAAACACAGCCTTCCAGGGTTACGATTAAAACAAACATGCAGACAATAAAAACAGGCTAATGTCCTTCAGGAATGAAGTCATCAGTCAGCCAGCCAGGCAAAGAAATCAGACAAGCTGACGTGCAGCTGACAATGAGGAAAACCTCGAAAGGGAGATAGACAGGTGTTGCATGTGAAATAAAGCCCCAAGGAATCCATGTTCTTATCCCTGAAACCTGTGAATGTTGCCTTATGTGGCAAAAGGGATTTTGCAGATGTGAGGAAATGAAGGATTTTGAGAAGGGGAAATTATCTGAAATTTTATAGATTTTCCCTAGGTGTTATCATCAGTGTCCATTATAAGAGAGGGGCTGTGGGAGACTTGACTGTACAGAAGAGCAGTAGATGATGAAAGGATGGAAGCACACAGCAGGATCTGAAGACGGAGGAAGAAACATGAGCCAAGAAATGCAAGGATTGCAGATCTGGAAGCTTGGAAAGGCAAGAAAAAGGACTCTCTACTAAAGTGTTCCAATTGAGTGTGGTCCTGGTGGCAACTTGACTTCAACTCAGTGAAACTGATCACACTTCTGCCTTCTAGACCTGCATGAATAGGAATAAATAAATAAAGAAGAGAATAAATGTGTGTGTGTGTGTTTTTTCCTTTTTGTCTTTTCTTTTTTACTGACCGGTAACGGGATCGCAACCCTCAGTGTCGCACCCATACCGGGGACCGGCAACGGGATCGCAACCCTCGGTGTTGCGCCCGCACCGTGCTCAGCCAGTGAGCGGGAACCGGTCTCCACATGGGATCCGAACCCTCGGCGGGAGCACCGCTGCACTCCCAAGCAGCGCACTTCTCCAGTGCGCCACCAGGCCGGCCCTAAATGTGTGTTGTTTCCTTTTTTTTTTTGTCTTTTTTTTCATGTCCAGCAATGGATCGCAACCCTCAGTGTCGCGCCCGTACCGGACCGGGACCAGCAACGGGATCGCAACCCTCGGCGTTGCACCCGCACCTCGCTCAGCCAGTGAGCTGGAACCGGTCTGTATGTGGGATCCGAACCCTCGGCGGGAGCACCGCCGCACTCCCAAGCAGCGCACTGTAGCAGTGCGCCACCGGGCCGGCCCTAAATGTGTGTTGTTTAAAGCTAGCAAGTTTATGGTGATTTCTTGCAGCAGCGATAAGAAACTAATACAAGAGGGAATAATAAATATAATTTGTGCTATGAATTCAGTTTCAGTGGTGGTGGTAAAGTAAGTCTTCTCAATAAGCCTAATGCGTGTGCATGCGTGTGTGTGTGTGTGTGTGTGTGTGTTTTGCTACAATTTTGAGCAGTCACCATTCTGAGAAACTGGTGCAGTAAACTGAACAAGAGGCACGAAGTGCTTTAAGTGGTGCAAAGGGTGGACTGTGGCAGTTGCTCAAACCGTTCTGCCTGCTCTGCCTGTTTTCGCCATTTTTGTGAACATTGCCTACGAGTGTTCTTTCACCTCCTGCATCCAGCACCTGAAACTCCTTGCTGGAGGGCAACCCTCAGACTGCCAGAACCCACTTTTTTTCTGCATATATAGCCATCTAGAAGGCCCTGGGAATTTTTGTCCCATTGGGGTCAGCTTATAACTGAAGACCGATGGGTATAGGAGCATGAATCACCTAACTCCATTTCACCCTGTGAAGGCTGACTTTGAGGTGTGACCTATTCCTTTTGTAGAGTTCGCCTGAGAGATTTTGCCAAAATCACCTCCCTGGGAATTTGCTTGATGTCATACCTATTTGGGGTTTTCTTCTCTTCTCCTTTGTCCCTAATCCTCTACAAGTACCTCCTTTCTTACCCCAGGAACATTTCCAAAATAAATCACTTTTATAGAAAGTTTTATGTTAAGGATTTTCTGGGTAATACAACCTACGGTAGCATCATTTTGGTTTGTTTACATGTTTCACTTTCTATTTGTTGCTGTTACATAGGAATGTCTTGGATTGTATATTTTTATTTTTCATCCAATGACTTTGATAAATGTGCTGTTTTTATTCTAATGGTTTACTGTATTTTTTCCACGTACACAATTAAGTTATCTGAGAATAATGGCTGTTTTATTACCTTCTTCTCAATGTTTATATCTGTTCTTAGTATTATCATTACCATTATAATTTTTATGCTATTATTTTCATTGTTTAGCCTTAATGAACTTCTTAGGACCTTCAGGAAAATGTTGGATGAATGTAGGAATAGAAAATGTTATTATCTCATTTCTAATCTCAGGAGCAAACATATCAATTTTTCTACTGGAAGTATAATTTTTAATAGGTTCTATGTAGATTTCTTTGTAATATAAATAAATATTCATTCAATTTTTAAAATTTGCTAACACCTATTACCATTTACTCAATCATATTTCTGCATCTGTTCAGGTAAACATATTTTCCCTATATCCTGTTAATGTAATAAAATGCATTGATTAAGTTTTCTAATTTTATGAAATAATAAGCTGAAATTGATCATTACATATTGTCCATATTATATATCATTATATTTTGTTTGCTAATATTAAGTGCAGGTTTTTTTTTTCTAACTTCTCATAAGATCTTATACTTTTAATTTTCCCATCTTGTAAAGTAATGGTAAGGTTCTGGTCTAAACATTATTATTTTGGACTCATCAAGTAAATTGGAAAATATTTAATTCTTTAAAATATTTTGTGAATATTTGTTGTTTTTCAGATCAGTGTTGCTAGGGTTTCATAAATTTAATTAGACTTTAAAAAACATTTTGTGAATTTATGTTTTTAAAAATATTTTTTGATAAACTATTATTTGTTCTTAAAATTATTACATTTTTCTTTTTGCCTTTCCCAGGAATTAATTTGCTGTACTTTGCAACACTTCTTGTAATGCAAGGTGTAATTACTGATTGTTTTTCAGACATTTTTCTTTTTCAGTAAATTTATTTGAATCTCTCATTTGTTCCATGCATACTTCTTTTCTTGCACATCTTTGGTTTGATGTGCAATTTTTATATTATCATATAAGATGTTTAAAACATTATCTCACTTTGCGATTTTCTTCTTTTACCTGTTGTATATTTAGAACAAAATTTACTAAATGTCCCAGATATGCTGGTATTATTTATCTTTCACTGCAGAATCAGGTGACCTCCAAAAGGTTACAGAAGCTGCTGGTTGTCCATGTCAGCTCTCCACTCTGGCTGGGGGTCATTAGTGGAGAGTCCACGGGGGCAGCTCCTGTGCCTTCTGAGGTCCCTAAAGTCCCACTCCTTGGAGTGTGGTGTCTGGGTCTTGTCCTGGGCTAGTGGATACCAGAGCAACATACAGACTGGGATCAGTTGGGAGGAAGATGTTGTTGTCTCCTATCTGGGCTTGAATCTGTTTGGCTTGATGTAAATCACATCGTGGGGGGCTTCAGATGCAGCAGCCTGAAGTTAGGGAAGAGTGAGGGGTTAGGTGTAAAGTGGGGGTGGGGGAGAAGTCTGTAGAAATGGAGACAAAAGAACCCACCTGGCTGTTCATCTGTCTGTCCTCTTCCGCTTGTCTGTCCTTAGTGTCCAGCAAGTCCCCGGGTGCGGGGGTGGGGGTGTGTGTGTGTGAAGGTGGGATAGCCACTCCCTGCCTGAATCTGGAGTGATTTACCTGGGCGTATGTCACTCCCTGGAGGTCTTCATCTTCAAGGCTCTGCTGTAGGTAGACAGTGAGCAGGGTTGTCTCCTTGATTTCACTCTTGTATTCATCATTCAGTTTTCCCTGCAAAACCCATAGTTTTTTGTTTTTTTAACAAACCATGTCAGATTATATGCCTTCTTGAGCAAAATCCCAAAATCTTCCAGTGGCTCCACAAGCTCTATCACAGCCTGAAAGACCTACAGGATCCAGCCCCTGACAAACTCTCCACCTCGCCCCCAACACTTTCGTTCCTTGAACATTCACCTCCAGTCACACTGGGCATTTTGCTGTACCTGTACAAGGTAAGCATGTTCTCACCTATAAGCCTTTGCACTTACTGTTCCCTCTGACAGGAATGCTCTTCCATCAGATATTCACATAGCATGTTCTCCCCACTCTGTTTAAGTCTGCTCCAATGTTTCTTTCTCAGAGAATTCTTTCTTGGCTGTTCTGTTTAACATACTTGCTGTTACCAACACACACTCTATCCCCTTACCTTATTCTGTCATTAATTTACAGCACATTGCACTGTTTGGTTTTGTGTATGTGTGTCCATGTTTATTTCAAGACACAGTGGGGGATTGTTTCTCCCCACTTTGGACAGAAGGAAAGGGTCAATTGGGCTCGATGACTGACACAGCAGGGTCACGTTCACTCCCGAGGCTACCTTGGGGCCCAGCTTCATGGAGAGGGAGGGTCTGTCAGGGAGCTGCTCTAGAGAGAAGAAGGATGGGTGAGGGGCTGTCCCCCACTCGGTTCTGAGCTGAGGCCTCACCAGGACCTCTCTCTGAGGACGCCCAGTCTCTCTGTCTATCTCTGTTCACAGAGCCTCTGCCCCCCCCCACCTATACCCCCTCTCTGTCTCTCTCCCTCTCTTGTGACCCCACCCCTCAACCTGGCCATCACAACCCGTGACTCCACCAGCAGGGCCTATGCAGAGTCTGGGTCCCATACTGAATCCACTGGGCTCCTCACTTGTGATCAGGATGTCCACGGAGTCACTGGGGGCCGACCACTCAGAGGACAGGTTGCATGCACCGTAGCACTTGTATCTGCCCCCATGGGAGCCACTCACAGGGTCCAGGGGAAAGTCAGCCTGAGAGAGCCCAGCCTGACACTGCTGGCCAGGGCGCTGGGAGAGATCACATCCCCCCTCCTTGGACAGAGTGAATCTGTTGTAGCTGACACCAGACTGACACTGGAGGGCCAGACTCTCTCCAGAGGCCATGAAAAGGCCCTGCTGGGTCACGAGGTAGGGCTTCCTGGACAAACCTGGAGGGAAAGACAAGCCGGGACTCCAGGGACTGGTTTGTCCCAAACACCTCCCTTCTCCCATCCTGGCCCTTTAAATGTTTGGTAGAATTCATCAGTGAAACCATCCTGTTCTGGGCTTTTATTTGTTGAAAGACTTTTTATTATTGATTCAATCTCATTACTTGTTATTTTTCTATGGCCCTTTAGTAGGTTGGGCCATGGGGGCTGGTGCTCCCCTCCAGGGCCAAGGGGACTTCAGGTGTCACTTAGGCTGGGTGGGTCTGGTGGACTCACCTCACCAGGTTGGGCACTGGGGGATGGTGCTACCCTCCAGGTCCAAGGACAGGGGAGAGAGTTACAAATTTATGAATTGTATTCATATGTCTAAATATGCTCTACATAAAATTCCACAATTTACATCTGTCATTAAAGTTATTGTACTGCAGGAAAAAATCACATAACTACATTCTGTGATAAAAGATTCAATATAAATTTTTTCAATTTTGATAATTGTTTTGAAATTCATATTCTATATAATTACATTAATTTCTATTATGTATAAACATATGTATTATAAAAATGTATTTTATATATACATTTATATGTAAACCCCTCATCTTCAAGAGCAAAACTTTAAATGTTATTAGTATTCAAATTATTTTATTATTTGAAGGACATAACTATGAAGAACCTTTACTATTTATTATTCTGTGGCTTTTTCTTGTCAGCCCAGAATGTATTTACTTTCTTTGCACTTAAAATATATTAAATAAAGATACAACTGGATTAAAAATAGTTAACTTCATAAATTTATTGGCTTCAGTCCTAGGTGTAAATACTGTTAACCATTCTTCCTGGCAAGAAACCCACAAACACCTTCAAACACATTCTAGTAAAGTCTATATGCACAAATTCTCATCATTTTTAAGCAATGCAAGCTTCATACTTTCCAATGGGTAATTGCTCTGTGTGCTTATTTGGAAAGTGACTGACTTCAGCTCTGTGCATACCACTTATAATTCAAAAAGCTTGTAACAGGTTTTATGAATCACAGCCTATTGTCTAATATTTAGCATTATTGGTTCACAAAAATATCCTCTGCCACATGACAAAGTTGCTTGCATTATATATAGTTCAATTACAGTATTTAATATCCCGTTGTATGGTATGATTATTTAATTAAATACGAACATCTAATTTATCCTCTGCCATAATTAATAAGGTCTTTCTTGGGAAGTGGGAAACCCGGTAGAGTCTGACAGTAGCTGCTGGGAGTAAATGGTAGCATCATTATGGAAAGAGTGTGTTATCATCTAGTGTATTTCAATCTTGACATGCCACATACCCCAGCAATTCTACCCTGGGGTATATATTCAGAGAAAATTCTCACTCATACAATCCAGGGGACATTTGTAAGAATGCTCAAGGCACTGCTCTTAAAAGCAAAACGCGGGGCCGGCCCGGTGGCGCACTGCTACAGTGCGCTGCTTGGGAAGCGCGGCGGCGCTCCTGTCGAGGGATCGTAGCATCATTATGGAAAGAGTGTGTTATCATCTAGTGTATTTCAATCTTGACATGCCACATACCCCAGCAATTCTACCCTGGGGTATATATTCAGAGAAAATTCTCACTCATACAATCCAGGGGACATTTGTAAGAATGCTCAAGGCACTGCTCTTAAAAGCAAAACGCGGGGCCGGCCCGGTGGCGCACTGCTACAGTGCGCTGCTTGGGAAGCGCGGCGGCGCTCCTGCCGAGGGATCGGATCCCACATACAGACTGGTTCCCGCTCACTGGCTGAGCGAGGTGCGGGAGCAACACCGAGGGTTGCGATCCCGTTGCTGGTCCCGGTCCGGTACGGGCGCGACACTGAGGGTTGCGATCCGTTGCCGGTCATGAAAAAAGACAAAAAGACAAAAAAAAAAAAAAAAGCAAAATGCATGGAAGAACATGTCATATGAAGCAAATAAATAAATAAACACAAGATGCAGAATGACGGTTGTTTTATATGTTGGCAAGTTCAGGGACAGGTGACAAAACCTAAGTTGATATTATTATTGTGAATGTCCTCTTTTTAAATTCAGTAGTGATTTCACATGGGTTTTTCTTTCGATAATGTCTGTAATTTTTTCTGATAACATCAGTTGACTGTTGGAAAGAACTTTCAGCATTATGTATACATATCTAAGTACGTATTCACATTTTATACATGTAAAACATTTCAAATAAAATTTCAAGAGCCAGAATTTGCATGCTTTGTTCTGTGTTAATAATACAGAAAAAATATTTCTGTTAACTTCTTGATGCTTGAAACAAAAATTTAAGTTTGAATATAGTTCTGAATTTGCAATTAATGTAATTTTCAAAATAATAATAATAAAACAATTTGATTTTTATTCTGCAAATACTAACAATACTAATGCTAACAATGCATATGTGTTAATTTCCCAGGGGAAAATTGCATAATATAAATTGAATCACATATAGGTGTTAAAAAGCACTAAGACATGTGAAAATATCATTTTATAATTTTCCATCAAGAAAAAGTAAATTCGAAGTTTGTGTATGAGGGGTTGGTCAGTGATGGGCTTCAAGTCAGGTCTGTATAAGGGGCTGCATTGAACCAAGAATATTGCCTAAAATTTTTCCACAGAACCCCCTATATCTAAGATAAGAAGAAGCTGTTCACCTTCCTGTGTGGTGGGCAACACATAAACTCTGCAAACTGTGAAGCTGGGGCCATGGCAACCACATCTTTTTTATTTTCCAGTTTTGCTCAGCACCTGTGTACTGTCCAGCGGAAGTAGCTCAATGTCCTCCAAATTTGTTAGGCTCCTATACCTTGGTAAGTCCTGAAAGAAAAGAGAGGAGAGGGCTAGGGTGGAGATCCTGGCCTGAAGAACTGGCTTCTCCACAACACAGGACTGAAGGTGGGATGCATGGAAAGCTGCATTCATCTACTATCTGAACACAGGCTGAGCCACCAAGGCTAGCATCCAAGACAAGTCACAGCTACTGGAAGGGAAGGATTCTCTGGGAAAGAATCGTCTTTGATGTAGTTTTCCTCCCAGGATTCTGTCTGGGTCAGAGGATCTGTGCACACATGGGTGAGTCCTTCTTCAGCCCCATGTTTCTGTGTTGGCCAGACACAAAGAGTTCCCCCAGGCAGGAAGGATGGAGAACAGAGAAGGGCTGATGCAGATGCCTCGGGAAGGGCTTTGCAGTGAATCTCCTGGGGGCACAAGAGGAGGGGTCCTCTGGACACCTGCGGCTCTCATTCTGTTCTAGTGACCTTCCCTAGATACCCCTCTGGGCTCACCCAGTCTCCTGAAGGAGTCTGTGATGTTCGGAATCTGGGTTCTCTAGGGATGAGTTAGAATGACATCAGTAAGGAAGGAAGGGCCCAATGGTGGGCCACATGAAACCGTCTGAAGGTCAGGAACAAACACAGATCTTCCTGTCTGTCCACAGCACTCAGCTAAAGGGCTTTCCTGCTACCCAAGTCTGAGAAGGGACGGGTCTGCTGGCAGTGGCCTCAGGCACCTGGTAGCACCTTTTTGTACGGAAGAATTATTTTAAATAAATTTCCTATGTTGTCGTATATTGCTTGAATCAGATAGATTTCACCCTTCTACCCTATAAGTATATTATTATTGTTAAAAAAACTTAAGAGGAACTTTGTTCAATGTTTTATCAACACTCTAAGTGAAATTGCTTCTCTAGGAGATCTGTCACGTCCATGCTGGGGTGGGCTCCGTTCCTTGCCTACCACCAGGTAGTGTTGAGCATCAGAGACTCTGGTTTGAATTGAATGACAAACCTTGATTTCACTGGCAGTCCCGTCTTCAGTTTGTCAAATTCAAATTATCCACAAGAAGGAAAGTCCATGTCCCAGAGCTCTAGAGTGGTCTTTTCAACAACAGCTTCACCATGAATGCTGTGAGCACAGTCCACGCAGGGACCTACAGATGTTTTGTATCTTACGCCTACAACCTGGCTCTCTGGTCAGGGCAGAGCGACCCCCTGGAGATTGTGGTCACAGGTACGAGAAGTGCAGCCCAGGCCACGTGCACTCTGTGTCCAGACAGTCCTCCCCAGAGTCCACACACAGCGGAACCGGAGACTTATCATAGGATTCCTCATCAGGACCCAGTGAAAGAAGAATAACCCGCTCTGAGATTTTAAAGACAGGGACTACTTTGCTCATGTGAAGGAAGAAAGGGAAAGCCAGTAACCTTCATGATGTAACCCCATTTGTCTATTTTGGGGGTTTTTGTCTATGTTTTCAGGTTTATAGCCATAAAATCATTGCCCAGATGAATGTCATATATCTCTTCCTCTGTGCTTTCTTCTATGGTTTTATGGTTTCAAGTCTTACTTTTATGTCTTTAATTCTTTCTCACTTGATTTTTTATACAGTGTGAGGTGAAGTTCTAATTTCATTTTATTCTTTTGCTTGTTGTGATGGTTAATTCTAGATGTAACTTAATTAGATGAAGGAATACTGACAAACCTGATAAAGCTGTCTTTTTAGGTGTGTCCATGAGGGTGTTTCCAGCAGAGATTAGCGTGACAGCCTGAGTGGACTGGGTGGGAAAGATCCGCCCTCAATACGGACGGGATCCGTCCCATTTGCTGGGGACCCAGAGAAGGCAAAAATGGAGGAAAAGTGCGACTCTCTCTCTCTTTGTAGAGCAGGAATACACTCTGCTCGCCTGTGCATGGATATGAGAGCTCAAGACTCTTCAGCTTGTGGGTGCCAGGACTTACACCGACGGCTCCATCAGCTTCCCTCATTCTAAGGCCTTCAGACTGATACCAGCATCCAGTTTGCAGATGGCCTATCCTGCAACTCTTCAGCCTTCACAGTCGGGTGAGACAATTCCCCTAGTAAATCCCCTCTCATATAGTTATAAACATATCCTACTGGTTCTGTCTCTCTGCAGAACCCTGACTAATATACGAGAGGATATCCAGACTTTCCAGGACCATTTACTGAAAAGACTTTCCTTTCTCCTTTTTCCATTATGTGCTAGTGGCAGCTTTGTCAGAAATCAGTTGACTGTAAATGTGTGAATTTATTTCTAGGCTCTTTATTCTGTTCCATTTCTCTATGTGTCTGTTTTCATGTCAGCAGCGTGACGTTTTTTGGTTTGTTATTTTAATTCTAATTTTTTTTGACAGATTATACTAGTGCATAACTATGGAACGCAGTAGTGCTGTGATATATAATGTGATATAAAATGTGTTGAATGAATCAAACTAATTGGCATGTGTTGATTATAATAGCTCTGTAGTAGATTTTGAGATGAGATAGTGTGATCCTCATAATTTGCTTTTGTTTGTTTGTGTTTTGCTCAAAATGGCTTTGGCTATTCAGGTTAGTTTGCAGTTTCATATGAATTTTACAATTGTTCTTTCTATGTTTATAAAAAATGCCATTGGAATTTAAATAGAAATTTCACTTAATCAGCAGGAGTTCAGACTTTTCCCTTCCACTCATATATGTTAGTCAGAGAAAAGTATATGTTAATTACTGGTGCATATTCTTCTTTCAATTCTCCCAAATGCAGCAAGATAACTTAAGACATACTATTAAGAAGTTAAATATTTCTATGTTAAAATTAGTGTCATATTAGAAATTATGTAAAACTCTACCGCACAGGGTGGAATATGTGGATGGGTGAACCAGAGAAACATGAATGTCCAAATGGTTCTTAACTTTTTAGGAGAACAGAAGCAACCACTTCACTCCTACTTTCTAGAGTGAAGCGATCTTCCCACTCAGGTTCACTTTCAAAGAATTCACCTGGGATGGGGCATCACCAAATTATGTTCTATGTTTTACCTGTATTTCATTGGCCAGCTGTTAACTTATTGTCTCAAAACAAGGTCTGGTATTCATGTTAGAAAATGTTATCAGTTTGGTTTTTTCTTCAAATAGTCTGGAGTTTCCTTCTGACATTCAAAATTGGATGTGGACAACTTGATTTCCTATAGAATTATGTTAATGGATATTTATGTATAATCTAAAATGAGAGAGACAGAGAGAGAGAGAAAGAAACATGAGTTTGGAATCTTGGGTCATAGAAAAATATCAGATAATACTACAAAATTTTAAATTTGATTGTTTTGGTTTTTGCTAATAAAGAGGAATGCTATTATACTAAATAACTGCATAATGCTTCTACTGGGAAATTAAATAATTTTAACTGGTACTGATTCAATGTTAGATATCCTAACATGGAAAATCATTTTGATTTATATGTTATGATTGTTCTGTAATATCACTAATACCTATTGAATATGTCATGTATTACACATGAAGAAGAGTTTCAAGCTCAGATAAAAACAAAAAAAAAGTGTCAGAACTCTTTTTTTTTGGACAGCACAATCCATAAGCTTTATTAGATAAACATACAAAATATCAGTTGGAAAGTGCACATTATTTGCAAGGATACACACAACATTAAAAACTGGGTTGCACTAAAAACTATAAGGCAAGTTTCAACAACAATCAAAGAATATAGAACATAAGTTCTGATCTTAATATAATTAAGGGAGAAATCAATTTTATGAAAACTTTTACAATAGATGTGCTTCTACACACTCCTGGGCCAAACAGAAAAACGGAATTAGAAAATTCTTGAAACTGAACAGTAATGAAAATGCCACATGTTTTTTCCCCCTTCTCAACTCCTTTTCAGTTCTTTTTGTGTGTGTGTGTGCCACAAAACAAGTCTTAATACATTTAAAGAGACTAAGATCATAGATAATATGTTCTCTGACCACAATGTCAGAAGGATATTTAGAAAACTCACAAATGTGTGGAAATTAAACCACACTGTCTTACATAAACAATGGATAAAAAGAGAAATCACAAGGAAATTAGAGAGTACTTTGAGATAAAAATAGAAGAGCAACATATCAGAATTTATAGGATGAAGGGCTCTTGCAGTGCTTAGAGGAAAATTTATACTTTTAAATACCTATATTAAAAGTAAGAAAAATCTCAAACCAGTAATGTAAATTTTTACCTTAAGAAAATAGAAAAAGAAGAGCAAACTAAACCTAAAGCAAATATAAGTAGGAAATAACAAAGATTACACAGAAACATATGAAACAGGGAGTTAAAAAACATAGAGAAAATCAACAATAGCAAAAGTTGATTCTTTAAAAAAGCCAACAAAATTTGCAAACCTCTATCTAGATTGACCAAGAAATAAAGAGAGAAGACTGAAATTACTGAAATCAGAAGTAAAGCAGGGGCACTGTTACATTGCCATTATGTTTTTTTGTGGTGTTAAGATTTAGTTTCTTTCTCTTTCTCATATGCACTTTTGTTCGGGCAGTGGGTTTTGTTCTTGTGTATTCGTGGTAGTGACTGTTGTTTTTTGGACTCCAGAGGTGTAGGAATTCCTTGAGAATATCTTGCAGGGCTGGTTGTGTGGTGGTGAACTCCCACCATTTTTGTTTGTCTGGAAAACACACTATTTTTCCCTCATTTCTGAAGGAGAGCCTTGCCTAATATAGTATTCTTGGCTGGTACTTTTTCTTTTTTTAGTATTTTGAATACATCATCCCATTTTCTTCTGGCCTGTAGAGTTTCTGTTGAGAAGTCTGCAGCTAGTCTGATAGGGGCTCCCTTATAGGTGACCTGACGCTTTTCTCTTGCTTCTTTGAAGATTCTCTCTTTGTCTTTGAGCTTTGCCAGTTTGACTATGAAGTGTTTTGGAGAGGATCTTTTGGGGTTGAATCTGTTTGGATCTTTGAGCCTCCTGGATCTGAAAGTTCAAGTCTCTTTCCATGCTGGGAAATTTCAATTATTGCTTCATTGCATGTATTTTCTTTTTTTTTTTTTTTTTTTCCTTTTTGTCTTTTTTCGTGACCGGCAACGGATTGCAACCCTCAGTGTCCCGCCCATACCGGCCCGGGACCAGCAACGGGATCACAACCCTCGGTGTTGCACCCGCACCTCGCTCAGCCAGTGAGCGGCCGGTCTGTATGTGGGATCCGAACCCTCGGCGGGAGTGCCGCTGCACTCCCAAGTGGTGCACAGTAGCAGTGCACCACCGGGCCGGCCCCATTGCATGTATTTTCAATGCCTTTTTTTTTTTCTCCTCCATTTATGGAACACCCATGATTCAGAGGTTTGTGTGTTTCAGGTTGTCCGCTAGCTCTCTTAGATTTTCATATTTTAAAATTCCTTTTTCCTCTTTTTTTTTTTTTTTTTTTGGTATGCCTGGGTTCTTTCCAAAAGACTATCTTTAAGATCAGAAATTGCTTCTTCTGCTTATTCTAGCCTGCTGATTAAGCTATCAGTTGTGTTTTATATTTCATCGAGCGAATCTTTTAGTTCCATGAGCTCTGCTACATTGCTACTTGCTTTTATAAGGTATTAATCTCTTTGTAGATTTCCTCCTTCATATCCTGGATTATTTTTTCTCATTTGATTATATTGTCTAACTGAGTCTTTGTATATCTCAGTGAGTTTCCTTAAGATTGTTTCTTGGAATTCCTTTTCAGTGATTTCAAGGGTTTCCTGCAATTACTGCATTCTTTTGGTGGTGTCCTATTTTCTTGGATTTCCATATTTCTAGTATCTCTATGTTGATGCTTGGTCATCTGGTAGAGCAGTCACTTCTTCTGTTACTCTGGAGTGGGCTTTGAGCAGAGAGATATCCTCTTTTTTTCCTGTTTCCTCTGGTAACTCTCCTTGAGTCAATGCAGTCTAGTGGCTGGCAGGCAGCCTGCATGGTGGCTGTGGCTACTGCTGTGGCATCAAGTGACTGTTGCAGCAGCCATGGCTGCGATGGGCCAACCACACATAAGTGGTGTTTTTGACATGCTCCTTGCCTGCTCCCAGGTGGGGGATGCTGCCCTTGGCTCCTGTCTAGGACCACAAGTATGATCTGCTCTTGCCTGTTTCTGGGAGGAGGGGGCTGCCCTTAGCTACTGCCTAGGACCTCAGGTGTGTTCTCCTCAAAAGTCACTAATGTAAGTACAGAAACTAATCATTCTCAGTATGAGGGATAGGTACAAGATGTGTTTCAAGTCAGACCATACTAAATGGTTTGAAGAAGCAATTCTAGTCTGAACACATTCTAGGACCCATACTTCTTCCTTGGCTGGGCCTCCATCCCCAGCCTCATGGAAGATAAGGAGAGTTTACCTTTGTCACCATTCCATGTTATTGTCCACTTGTAAACTATGTAAGCTGGGCCCACTCATGACATCCTGTGCACCACTCAATTTTGCAGGATCTCTGCTATCTGTCAGCAGAAGCAACACCATGTCACCCACGTCCATCAGCTTGCTGTGTCTTGGTGAGTCCTGGAAGGAAATAAATGAAGTCAGCACTAGGGTGGAAGTATTGGCCTCGGGGGCTGGGTCTCTCCATAGCAGAATGCCATGCTTCCATGAAGGCAGGTGGGCATTGATATTTGAGTTTATCTTTTCTTGAGCTCAGACCTGGCTGCCCAGGATCATAGGCCAGGTGAGAGCCAGAGGAGAAGGTCAGCTTTTGTGTGGAGATGGATGGTCCATCATGGATCTTTCTTTCCAGGGTTCCTCATGGTCCAGATCATCTGCATACAAGCAGGTAAGTCTTTTGCCTAAACCTTGGGTTGCCATCTACCCAAAATAAGAGAATTTTCCTGTAACAGGAGGTCAGGTGGCATAGAAGGTTGGACTGATGCACTGACTGTTAGAAGCCTGTGGGTGAATGTCTTGTGAACTAGAAAGTGGAGGTCCTGGGAAACCTGTGCACGAATTCTGTCCTAGAAACCCTACCTAGCCACTCTCCTCTTAGCTGAGCCAAGCTCTAAGGGAACCTAAAGGAAACTGTGGCAGTCAGAGCTGGGCTGTGTGGAGAGGAAGTGATGTCATTTGTAGAGTAAGAAAGGAAGCAGTGCTAAGAAATGGGGGCCTCTCTGAGAGCAGGATGGTAACTAATGTTCTCCAGCATTTTCCTGACCAAAAGAGCTGCAGAGTATGGTACCAATTTTCTATCAGAAGAGGTGGAGAGCCGAATGCCATGATCCCCTGAAATTTCAGGATATTCTGATGCAGCTTCAATTGTTTAATATGCACCAGATATTAGGTGACATTATTTCATTCACACAGAACTTGTCCACTTTACTATGTCAACTCTGTGATGTTTTATATAACACATTTTGTATTATGAATCTGGGAAGAGTCTTTTGTTCAGTACTTGCAAAAATGTCTCAGCCACGACATTTTGTAGGAAGATTTGTCATGTCCATGTGGCAGAGGTGCCTTCATGTTCCTCTGGGCACCCCTGGTTTGAAAAGGAGCCTAAGAAACATAGAAGAGAGAGGAGATAATGTGCACAGAATGGGAGAGGGTGACTCACATTTTTCTCTCTAAGACTGCCTCTTCTCCTCTAGGAGATTATGACAAGCTCTTTTTGTCTTCTTGGCCAAGCCCTGTGGTTCCTCAAGGAGGACAAGTCACTCTTTGGTGTCACTCTGATCTTGGGTATGACATATTCAAACTGTACAAGGAAGATGGGGCCCGTGTCCCTGAGCTTCAAGACAGAATATTCAAAAACAAATTTACCATGAACTCTGTGACCACAGCACATGCGGGGACCTACAGATGTTTCAGGCCTTATTTTCACTCCCCAAATAAATCAGCAAAGAGCAACCCCCTGAAGATCATGGTCACAGGTAAGACAGCTCCTGTCCAGAATGGACATTTATTGTTCCAGCCTTTCCAATTTCAGAGTTTTCTAGTGGGAGTGTCTGTCAGGGTCCAATCAAATGAAAGAATCTCTCCAAGTATTTTAAATAAAGGAGGATTTAATACAGGGAACTGAGTACATGGTAGGGAGAATAAGTGTTCCCAGTGATGTGTACACCAAAACACACCAAATCTATGAATATGTTCTGTTACATTCCAAGGGCAATTAAAGTTGGAGATGAAATTAAGGTTGTTAATCTGTTGACCTTGAGATGGGGAGACTGTCCTGTATTGTCCAGTTGGACTCAGTGTAGTTACTAGGGTCCAGAGAAGAAAAAGAAGAAGTCAGGAGCATGAGGGTCATAGTAAGGTGGCAGAATTGAGACTCCACCTGCCATTGCTGCCTTGAGGATGGAGGAAGGGCCACAGGCCAAGGAATACAGGTGGCCTCTAGAGGCTGTAAAAGTCAAAGGAAAGGATTCTCCCCTAGAGTCTCCAGAAAGAACACAGCCCTGCAGGTACCTTGATTTTTACTAGTGAGACTATTTCAGATTCCTGACCTCTAGAACTGTAAGATAGTAAATTTGTGTTCTCTTCTGTCACCATGTTTGTGGTATTGGTTAGAGCAGCAAATGGAACCCTATACAGGGACCCAAGTCAAGAACGAAATAAGAAGCCAAACAAGGGAAAGTGAAGACACCAGAAATCAGTACAGGCAGGATGCTGATGCTCCCACTAGGCTGGAGTAACGTAGGGAGAGGTCAGTGCTCCTGGCGCCAGACTCAGACCAAGTCTGTGGAAGCAGGAGAAGACCCAAGCACAGCAGAAGATGCTCCCCCTCCTGTCTCCACCTTACACAGGTTGAATAGACATTGTGGAGTACCTTGCCACATGCTTTACTCTTTAATTCTTACATCCTTCCAGGAATTCCAATTTATCAAAAAGAGCATTAACCATGCTGACAGGGAAACTGGAAGTGAAGCCTGTAGTGGTTGCTCTCCCATCTCCACCGTAAAAAGCATGTGAGGTCTGTGGGAAACATACTACAGACAAAGGTGCTAAAAACCATCCCAGTGGGAATTAAATATGGTGTGACTAGAGACAGAGAAACAGAGAAAGGAGAGAAAGAGGGGGGATATGGACACAGAAAAGGACATGTAGACACAGAGAGGAAGGAGAAAGACAGACATGGGGTAAGAGGCCCTCACTCATTCCAGGTTCCATAGAATGGACTGGGAAAGGGTGACTCCTTCTCAACTCACCATGCCTTTGCTCCTAGGAGTCCACAGAAAACCTTCCCTCTTGATCCAACCTGGTCCTATGGTGAAATCAGGAGAAAATCTTACCCTGATATGTTGCTCAGAGGTCATGTTTGACAGCTTCGTTCTGATTCTACAAAGAAGTGTTGGGGTAACCGAGGACCCTTTAGTCATTGCTGGAGAGCCCCATGATGGGGGCTCCCAGGCCCACTTCTTCCTGGCTCCTGTAACATCTACCCATGCAGGGACCTACAGATGCTACGGTTTTCTCAGTCACTCCCCCTATGAGTGGTCAGCTCCTAGTGACTTCCTGGACATCGTGATCACAGGTGAGTGTCCAGACCTGCCCCTCATCCATTCTGTAATCCAGACTACAGAATGTTCTAAGACTTGGAATCCCCAGGTGGCCATGGGGAAGATGAGTGAGTACTCGGATCTTATGGAGAGAGACAGACTTGGAGAGTGCTACCCCACAAGAGTCTAAGAAAAACGAGACCAAGTATAGTCCCCTTGTCATAACACAGAGGACAGATACACAGGCAGAGACAGTGGAACCAGAAATGAGATAAGAGCAAAGTTATACCTGTTATCAGAGGGAGGGTGCCTTTCTATCCTCACATGTTCAGAGACCCAGGATAGTTTAAAAGTTTGGTTTCCATGTTTCCCCTGTACTCTCTTCTCTGACGTGAGCTGGATCTTGTGGCCTCAGCCCATTGGCCCCCACAAATACTTTGTTTATTCTGACTTCTCTCCCTTCCACACTGTTGAGCCTTAATTCATCCCAGAATATCGTGGTCCTGGGTAAAAGAGTTGAACACCAGTTCTTCTAAGCTGTGTGTTCTCTGGGCCCCCAAACTGGCTTCCTAGGCCTGTGTTACAAAGTTAACCAATGTGTTATAGGATAACTGAGGACAAAAATCCACAGAAAAACCCAAATGGAGGGAAAGCAGAGACACTGAAAAGCAGAGACATAGAAACACACACACGTGCAGATTGAGACAACGAAGGGAGATTTGGAGACTCAGAGACACACAAGGAGAAAGAAGAGAGGGCTGAGAAGTGGGAGAATGATAGAAGGGAGCTGAGAACAGCCCCCAAAATCAAAGACCTGGGGGTGGGGCACAAAGACAGAGGAAAGTGGAGATGTGGGGATGGATGGCAGAAATTCCAAAAGAGAACGAGAGAGACAGAGAAGCAGAGGAAGACTCTAAGACAGGATGATAGATAGATAGACAGACAGACAGACAGACAGACAGATAGATAGATAGATAGAAGATGATAGATGACAGACAGAGAAGCAGAAAGGTGGGGCAAGACAAAGGGAGAGACTCAGAAAAAAAAAAAAAGAAAGACAGAAAGATCAAGCCAACTAATCCAAGGAGACACAAAGACTAAACAATACAGAAAGGGGACAAATGTTCGGGGGAGGTAGGGTGAGGTCAGACAATTAAGAGACAGAAAGCAAGAGATAAAGAAAATAGAAGGTGAAAAGAGACACGAGGAGAGAGCGAGAGTGTGAGAGAGAGAGAGGTAGGTCACGGCAGCAGGGAGAATGAATTCTCAGATCGCTGTGAAGGACACTGTGTTAAGGAAGTGTCTCTCTAACTAAACAGCCTCTTTTTTCTTCCAGGTCTATACAAGAAGCCAACTCTCTCAGCCCAGCCGTGGCCTGTGGTGAAGTCAGGAGAGAACAGGACTTTGTTCTGCAGCTCTCAGAGCTCATTTGACTTCTATCATCTGTATCAGGAGGGGAAGGCCCTTGAACGCCGGCTCCCTGCAGTGCAGAGCCCCAGTGGCACATCCCAGGCCAGCTTCCCTCTGGGCCCTGCAACCCCAGCCCATAGTGGGACCTACACATGCTATGGCTCTTTCAGTGGCTTTCCCTACCAGTGGTCAGCCCCAAGTGACCCACTGCACCTTTCTGTCACAGGTGAGGAAGCCCATTCCTGCCACATGCCTTGAGACACACTAAATCATAGAGCTGTATCTGTGGTTCTTTCTGCTGGTGATTCAGAGATCTTAGGAAATCTGAAAAAAAGAAGTAGTAAGAAGCACAGAGAGGAAAAGAGAGTCTGAATATGACAGGGGCCTTCAGGGTGTAGGATGATAGACAGGGCACCTCCAAACCCTCCTTCACCTCCTGTACGGAGGTTACTTTGGGATTCTATGATCCAGGTGAAAGAAGAAAGGGGTCAGGACAAACCCAGGGGAAGGAGAGGCCAGAGGCAGCTTGAAGAGATGAGAGGTTGCATCAATCCCTCCCCCTTATTCATTTATCAGAAGCCCCTCCTGACCTCTCACCCACAGAGAGAATTCCCTGTTCGGGACCATAGATGTTTATCATCCTGAGAGATATAATGTCTTTTGATTTGGGGCATCTTTTATCACCAGGCATCTTCTAGGCCTGTCTACACCTTCATGTCTAAGGGAAGGAATTGTCACCTGGGGAATTCTAAGAGAGAGAGATCTCAGGACCCAACTGTCTTTAGATGAATGACAGAGTGAGGATGGTCAAGGTACCAAACCTCCAGAAGGAATGATCCTACTCAGTGGTGCAAGGAAGAACTATTGCTCAGCCCTTTCTTTCCCACTGAATCTGGTGATCAAAGGAGAGCTCAGCCTAGACTGTGAATCCCTGGAGAGACAGAAGGCTATTGCATGAGTGATGGCTGTGCCACCTCCCAGCTCTGTGACCTTAAACTAGTCACCTTCCCTTTCTGATCCCCAGATTCTCCATTAGTATTTGAGTCTGTGATCAGGTGCAGATCCGAGGGGCATTTACCCTCTCATGCTCTGGAACTAAGGCCTCATCCAAAAGGAAGGGAGGGGTCAGAGTGAAACCAACCCTCTGCTGAGAAGTGATTCCAGCCCTCTCCCAGGGTCTATGAGGATGGGAATGCTGGGAGATGGGAAGGATTTAAGAAAATACCTTACATATTTATTGTCCATCTATCAATGTTCTATAATATAAATATTCAACAGTTACAAAGGAAAAAGTTCCTATCTTCATGAAGATCTTATTCCAGGTATGTGTGCAGGGAAATAAATTCTAATCAATCAATCAATCAATAAGTGGATTCATTAATAATCATTAATTTGCATTCATTAAGGTAGACTCATGTCATAGAGGAAGCTCAACTGGATACTTTAGCATGGATGGGTTGGTAGGGAAGGCCCTACTGAGGAGTTTCACTTAATTATCTTAATGACAAGGGGAGCCAGTCTTTAGAAGATTGTTGGAGAGACATTCCCCACAGATGGAACAGTGAGTGCATGACTGTGATGTAGCCATGAGCTTGGTTCATTCAAAGCTGGGTTCATTCACGTGGCTGATGAGTGGTAAGCGAAGTGGAGCTGAGGGACGTAGACAGGAGTCAACCTATGTGAAGGTTTCTAAGCAACTGTAAAGAGTTTGGATTTTATTCTGATGAGATGTAAAGCCATCAAAGATGATTTGAATCAACGTGTTATGATCTGTATTCTATTTTGGATGAAACAGTTGGCAGATGTGAACAGAATTCACTTCAGGGAAATATGAGTAGAAGCCATGATTCTTGTCTAGACTATGACATTTTGGGGTAGAAAAGTCACGGCAACTTAGACCTGAAGGTGCTGGGGAAATAATTGAGTGGGTGGATTCAGGACATACTCAGAGGTAGACTCATTAAGAAGGGTATTTCAGAATCTAGTTCTGGTATTTCTCAGCCTGGTAATCTTGGGCATTCTCAGATATCTCTGAGTCTCTGTTTTATGGGCAGGAACTTACAGTTGGGCTATCAGAGCATGAGACAGCTCAGCAGGGAGCCTAGTGGGGGAACATTACATAGGCCCAGAAAGAGAAAAAATTGGAATCAGGCTCTTGTGCGCAATTCATGGCTCTGCTTGCTGTAATCACCAGCCTCACGAAATATCAGTTGTTCTTGAGGAGAATGTGGAGTTAATAATGCCTCTCTCCTGGGTTTGCACTTAGAGTAAGATGCACTCACAAATGTGACAGTCCTCTTACCCCTAGAATGGGTCCTGGTACAGAAAATGTGCTCAATATATAATATAGCCCTTGCTGCCCTCCCTCCTCTCTCCTGAATCCTCCACCTACTCCACTCTCAGACATCACTCGAAGGGCATATTATTCTACACAGCAACTCCAAATCTCTGCAACAGCAGAAGAGGCATCTCCGTCCTCTGGCTGTCTCCACCTCAGTTCTCAGAAAGTACAGTTGTGGTGGGGTGAGAAGAGATGAGTGGAAATGGTGTTCACCTACAGTGGATTCGGGGAATTTCCATTGCATGCAAATAATAAACTGTCTTGTCTCATGGGACAGCAGAAAACACACACATTGGAGTCTGGTAGACCTGGGCTTAAACGTCCACTTGTCTCCTACCGGCTCTTTAATTTGGATAACTGTGATAACTTCTCTTGGAATTTCTTGCACATGTCAGACAAGAGAGAAGGTGATTGGTCAGGATTAAGGATGATGGCAAAGTTTGAGATAACATACTTGGTCCACACTGGTATGTCATGTGTGCAGTACGTACTGGCCCAAAATAGGCAACTGATAACGGTAGATTTTATCATTTGCTTAGTGACAGAATCACATCCTCCTCAAGGACAGTCCAGCAAGATGAACATCATCCTTGGACTTTCAGCAGCCATCGTCTCCACTGCCATTTTTCTCTTTGCTCTTATTGGTCACTGGTGTTCTATCAAAAATCGTAAGTCTGAAAGAGAAGACGGCATCAAGAGAGCAGGGTGGGGGTGTAACTCAGGCTCAGAAGTGTGTTCATGTCCTGTGGGTTGCTCTGTGGTTTTTTGTTGAGGACAATGATTGGGTGGGGACCCCTGTCCCTTCCCTCAAATCCTCAACTTATAAACCACTCTTTTCTCTCCTCTAACTGCCCCTCAGCTCTGGGGAGGCCACTGTTCTGCAGAAGTGGATGATATGCAAGAAAGGAAGTAGATGGATGCCATGGGGTTGGAGGGGACCTTAGGGCAGTCGGGGTGGGCCTGAGATATTGATGGGATAGTTCTCTGAATCTAGTAGGGGAGAATGGCTGAGCAACCTCCGTCATACCCTGGCCTCCTTCTGGTCGTGGTGTATACATCTCTGATGTGAGAGTATTGAGGAGCCCTGTTAAGAGCCTTAACTCCCTCTTCTACCCCACAGATGCCACCATTATGGACACAGAGCCCAGAGAAGACCAAGTGATGGATGGAGAGGTGAGTTGTCTCAGCTCAAGCCCTCACCACGGTTTCATTTTCTCCACATGTCCCATGACCCTGGCTTTAATTATTAATTCTCACCCTCTTATTCTTCACCTTCCTCCTCTCAGGTTCCTGCACCAGAAGAAACACAGGAGGTGACATATGCCCAGTTAAACCACCAGACCCTCTCACAGACACGGTTTACTCCAACTTCCCCAAGCTCCAAGTGCCTCTCAGCTGAGCCCAGAATCTACACAGAACTCACCATCCACCAAGCCCATGCTGAGGTCACACCTGGCCCCAGGCTCTGAGAACACGGAGCATTACCAAGCAGAAACCTGGGCCTATCCCTTGGGAGATTTTCTTCATGAGCATTTTCTCCTTCTCCAATCATCCCAACATCTCTGAGGTGACAACAAGCCCCTTAGTAAATACCCAGCTGTCTACACTGTGATAAATATCCAACCATTTCAGGGGACTTTACTATATTCACCCATACATTCTGGACATCGAATCATTATCATCCTTCTTTATTTTAAACTCTACTGAAATGATTCTATATACTCAAATTATTCAATAAAAGTTTAGAAAGTGAGATATAGTCTGTCTGAGATGTCTAATATGGTAACCTTTAGTCATATGTTGTTATTTAAATTAAAATTTGAATAGATTGAGTTAAATAAAGTTTAAAATTCAGTTCCTTAGCCACGGGGGCCACAGTTCAAGTGCTCAGAAGCCACGTGTGCTGCTGCTGCCTTAGAGAATAGCCCAGATACGAAGCATTTCTATTACGGCAGAGAGCTCTCACTGTTCTAGATTGAAGATGGAAATTTGACGATACGGAGTCCATTTTCTCCTGGAGCTTGGTCTGAAAAAGAGACCTATCGGTAATGATTATATTTGACATCTGTTGCAAGGTGGCTTTATCAAATGTGAGCAGCAAGCAGAAGCCTCTCCTCCTCTCCTGGAATGTCTTATCACCTCTTATCCTCATACTAATTTCTGCTATAGTGTGATTTTTACCCAGACTCTGGGAATGTATTTTTTTTTGTCTGTTTTTCACATTTTCTTGGTCCCCATTGTCTTCTGGAGAGAATGCACAAATCTATTTTAGCACAAAATATGCTCTGGAAGTTGGTTTCTGCTGACATCGTCTGTTTTTCACATTTTCTTGGTCCCCATTGTCTTCTGAAGAGAATGCACAAATCTATTTTAGCACAAAATATGCTCTGGAAGTTGGTTTCTGCTGACATCTTCATCTTACCCCTTATTTATTTTCTTCCTACTAGAATCAGCATCTACACAGAACAACCCACAAACCGCTACACACAAAAAGCTGTTGCTTAGTTCTTAGAATTAGCAGATGCAGCTCCTTCCCCTGGCAATGTACCGAATTTCTTGAGCATCTCAGTGTAAACATCCACTTACATGCAAACATCTTCATCTCATAGTCTAAGTCAGGTGAGCCTATTCACCTCACAGTGTCTGTTCTACAACTTTCATATGCTGAGTTTTTACTGGCTGTTCTCCACTGGCCTATCATGTCTGCACCATAAGAGTCTTGAAGCAGGGGTGGAGTGTAATTAACGTCCAGCACCCAAGTGCCCATGCAAAGAGACTGTAGGAGGTCTCAGGAAACCCATGTCTGGTGAATGATCAGGATACCCAACCCCTCCAGAGAGGATCAATGTGCAAACTTCAGAGATCCTCTAATGTGACCCCCCCAAAATAGTTACTCTGTCCTCCTGGGCCAAACGGAGGATTAAGCTTCCTTCACTGTCTGAGCTGATGGGATAAATGGCCAGCGCTGGTCATTGGGTGTGAGAGTGAATCACCCACAGACACACTCCTAGCCTGGCTATTTATATGATGGCCCCACACTCACCAGTGTATACTCTATAGCTAGGGTGTTCCTAGAGGAACCCTGTTATGATAAGAAAGGTGTAAATAAAAGACCAAAGCCCTTCTCCTCCCTGTACTACTGCATGAAGGATGGTTACTCTGCAGAGTCAACTGATGCTAAGAAAAACTGCATAAGCAAGAGAGAAACTTAATTTTGCTTCCACAACATAAACACTCAAAAATAACAGTGAGGGTTATTATTTTTTTAAAGAAGTGGTTTTACATAAATTATAAATGGGAGCTGAAAAGACAGTTTACATATTCTGTGCTCCTACGATTTTATTGTACTTAAGTGTGGCTTCAACGTTTATCTGGTGGAAAAGTGGATCAACCAATTTTTATTCATAAAACGGTTTTACCTCTGTATTTTTTCTCCTAGAAAAAAGTGATTACATGGGCTGGACCCGTGGCTCACTCAGGAGAGTGCAGCGCTGATAGCGCCGAGGCCGCAGGTTCGGATCCTGTATGGGGATGGCCAGTGCGCTCACTGGCTGAGCGTGGTGCAGACAACATCATGCCAAGGGTTGTGATCCCCTTACCAGTCAAAAAAAAAAAAAAAGATTAAATGATCCACATTTTATAACTTTCATAATTATTGCATCCATATGCTGATGAGTCTCTTATTTTCCTTCTTGGTTGTGGACATGGGGTGGGCACATGCTTCATTTGAATCACTTTTCAGGTACAGCTCCTGCATCTCCTGTGGGTCAGATCATGCTGCTCTGTAGTCTGGGGATTCCTCTGCTGGGGTGTCTCCGCTTGGTCCAGTCTGGGGTGTGTGGGGATTCAGACTAGGACAGGGCTGACCGTGGGCATGGTGCATCGAAGCACTTCCCTTCCATAAAGACACACAAAGCATTTCCTACTCTGAGGAACAGCCAATGCCAACCCCACCAAGTTGAATGTGTAGGTCTTTCACATCACCAAGCTCCTGTCAGCTCCGGGGCTGATCCCAGTGAGGGAAGAGGATCCTGTCTAGGGCAGCCACAGATGCAACATCTCTGTTCTGTGTCCTCTCACCACTCATATGAGACCTCATTATGACTCTCCCTTCATTCAGGACCCCCCGGCTTATCTTTCTTTCCAGGTGTGTCTAGGAAGCCCTCCCTCGTGACCCAGCCGGGCCCTATCCTGCTGTCTGGAGAGAGTCTGACCCTCCAGAGTCACTCTGATTTGGCTACAACAGATTCGCTCTGTCCAAGAAGTAGGAACGTGACCTCCCCCAGAGCCCTGGCCCACAGACTCAGGCTTGTCTCTGTCAGGCCAACTTCCTCCTGGGCCCTGGGAGCAGCTCCCACAGGGGCCAATAGAGCTGCTACGGTGTACAGAACCTCTCCTCTGAGTGGTCGGGCCCCAATGACCCCCTGGACATCCTGATTGCAGGAGAGCAGCCCAGTGGATTCAGTCAGGGACCCAGATCCTGCACAGAGCTTTTCATGTATGTAGGTGGGTGTCTGTGTGTGTGTGTCTGTATCTCTCTTTGTCTCTTTGCATGTGTTTGCTTCGATGTGTACATGTGTGCATGTTTGTGCATTTTTTGTCTATGTGTGTTCATGTGATTTGTTCCTGTGCATGTTTCAAATTCTGTGTACATATGTGACTATGTTTGTGTGGTTTTGTTTGTGTGTGTTTATGGTTGTGCATCTGTGTTTGGATACAACACAGCAGATGGTCATGGGAGATTCCTGGTTTCCATCCATGTGACTTTGTTGATAAATAAATACTGAGTCATTTCATAACATTTACAATATTTATATATTAGCTTGCAAAGGGAATATTACATGTTATGAAACAAACAATAGTTATTACTTATAAAAAACAGAAAAATATGGTAAAATAATTTTATGATTGCAGAGTTTAGGATTTAAATGTGATAGTTAAGATGGGAGGGCTTGTTCAGCAATGTGGCTCAAGTCAGCTCTCAGCACCCACCCTCCTCTGGTTGAGAAGAAGCTGGTCTTCTTCCTGTGTGGTGGCCACCTTGTAGACTGTACAAACTGTGGTGTGGTGAGGGGACCCTGCCCACCACATCCTGTGGCTTTGACAGTTTTGCTCAGCTCCTGCCTCCTGTCCAACAGAAGTAGCACCATGTCCCTCGTATAACTTCGTATAATGTATGCTATACGAAGTTATTACGTGCTCTTTCCCAGCTCAGGGCCCCGTCACCATCCTATGATATTTTGGATGCAGAGGTTGCATGTCTACATGTGTGGGGTTTATGACAATAGCTATACCCCTTCTAAATTTGTCAAAGGAGTGGCCATGTTTCTTGAACCAAGGGGGTAATAAGTTGCACTCAAATTTTGCTCTTTTGAGAGCTAATTTTGAGCTAGATTTTTTAAAAGCCTTTCAAAACTTTTCCTATACTTCAATTTACACTGAATTTTAATATTCTAGCAAGCCTTTTAAGGTTTTTTTTTTTTTAAATATTTACTTCAGGTTTTCATGGGGTAGGGATATTTTAGGAGAACACTTATTGATAATGTGTTCAAATTATTAAGATACAACATGTTTTTCTATTGATACTCAAGCATTGTATGTATTTAAAGCATTCAAAATTGATCCAAAGTGTAATACAATCCTAAAAGTGACTAACAAAATTATTTCTATTTTTTCTCTTTGCAAATCTTAGCTTCTTTTTTTTCCAGGTTGAATGTCGAAATTAATGAAATAAATACCAGACTATTTTTTGTTAAGTTGCTTAGTGGAATACATAATTTTATTGCAAACATTTTTATTATCTCTTGGCAGCGAGTGATTGTCAACTAAATTTAATTAATAAATTTATCTTCTGGTCTGGTGTAACTTACCTGGAGAGCATGAAAAATAACGGAGTCAGACAATACCAAATGTTGGAGGTTTGTGAATCTATTTCTCTGTCTGTCTACCTACCTACCTACTTACGTATCTACCTGTGTTTATATGGATCTAAGTATCAATCTCTCTATCTGATGCAGCCACAAAGAATGTTGACAGCCACCAGAAGCTAGAAGAGGCAAGGAAGGATTCCCCACTAGAGCCTCCAGAGGGAGTGTGGCCCTGGCCCTGATGTGCCGACAGCTTGCTTTTGGACTTCTGACCTCCAGAACTCTGAGAGAATAAAGTTTTGTTGTCAAACCATCCAGTTTGTGATAATTTGTTATGTCAGCCTAGAAAACTAATTACTTGTTTCTTTTTTTCATGTACCATCTATCTACAAATCAGTCTATCCAAATTCATATTTATTCGATGTAAATTTGTTTGTGTATATGTAAGTTCTTTGTATTGGGGTCAGGGGAAGAGAGCACATTCTCTCTTTGAAAACTGGGTTTTGATTCATAACCAAGAAATGATTTCAGATAAAACACCAAGAGCCAGAATTTGCATGTTCTATGATCCTCTAGAAATTCAGAATCAAAGTTAGCTGGTTTTGTTTGGCAGGAGAAGTAAAAAGTTTGCAAGCAGTGCTAAACCTGAAAATATAGATTGGAGGTACATTTGAGTTCATTCTGCAAAGAGTTTCATAACATTTACAATATTTATATATTAGCTTGCAAAGGGAATATTACATGTTATGAAACAAACAATAGTTATTACTTATAAAAAACAGAAAAATATGGTAAAATAATTTTATGATTGCAGAGTTTAGGATTTA